AAATTGGCCCGCAGGCGTGAGTCGGCGTGAGATCGAAGTTTTCAACCCGCAGGCGTGAGAGTTGGCAGGTATATTACCATCGCTTCAATTTTCGAACTTTTACCGGTGGACTACAATAGTGTATGAAAGAAAGGTGTGAAACCAGGTGCAAAAATGGAGTAAAGTCATCCGGAATTTCTCGGCAAGAGGAGATGAAGTTCGTATTTGCCTTTGACTGTCACGTGATCCGGAATTTCACGAAAGCATACGATTGAATGCCTATACTAGCCTCAAACGGCGTCACTTGAATTCTATGAGACCGATTTTTACGGGCAAATCATCTCGAAAATATTGCAATGTTTATTTGACCATGCATGATAATCTGGAAGTATTCTAGCTCACCCCGCATATGTTTGCCCTCGTTCGCGACTTCATAGCCGCTAAAATTGCAGCAGTTCAGTCTTCGACAACGCAAAATAGCAAAATCTAATTAGACGGTTTCACTTTTTCGAATCAACATTTCTCCGAAACTGCTCGTTGGGTTACAAAGATCCAGTGGCAATCTGGTGAAAGGGAGTCAGGGGGAGTGTCAGTATGAGATAAACAAGAAACCGAAAAATTACTGAAAGGTTACCATCGCTTCAATTTTCGAAAATTCACCGGTGGACTACGAAAGTACTGTATGAAAGAAATTTAGTCCAATTGTCGACTCATTGAGTTCGAATTTTTTACTTCTTTTTATAATGTGCTTTGCTTTAGTTAGTGCGATTCAAAGGAACCACCTCCCCAATGTGAAAGTGAAACTAACTATCGTATCGTAAGATCATCCCATACAACGAAAAAAACTGCCATAATTATAACAACCTGTAATAAGTTTAACCTTTCCAAGATCTAAATAATTTTACCTTCAAGTCACTGTGATTTCGTCCATTAATAGCCTGAGACGCCAGCTTTTTTGAGCTCTTCTCTATCACAAGCTACCGAAGCTGTAACCGGTATCTGGTTTACACCAGGATATATATCACTGAAAGGGAAATCGAGTTTTTCAGGTCATGACCGGCGGTAACTGGTTTTCAGACCGGAATATAGGTAGACAAAAATTTCAGAGACCCCTCCCCTATCCTGCTGGAAACATTTTTCTGCACTGTGGGAGACTTTGAGGGGGCGTATGGAAAAGCCGGAATCCGGAATCCGGAACCGGAGCGGGAAACGGAAACGGAACTTAAATTGAGACCAGGGTAAACTGGGAAGCACTGAAACCAGTTCCCGATACCCGGGTGGGAATAAAATTCAAGATGGCGTCCTCTGTTATCATTGTTTTGAGAAATTTTCAGCACAGTGATCGTGATACCAAAGGTATACTCACATTCGGAAAGTGACTTGCAAAAAAAAAGGTAAGTGCATCCTACTGTTATTCCTAGTAGTCATAAACTGTGACTGCAGCTGTAGGTCGAGCAATTTTCGACAGATCGAGACTACAACTAATCAGAAGCCGATTGACTGCAAAAAACAGCCATTATTAGTATGTGATGTTTAAGACCGCTGTGTTATTCATTTCCTTCTCTTGAGCCTAAGTTACTCATTTCTTAAAAGCGCTCCGTGTTTCATCCATTGTGAGGAAAAGGCGGCGAAGGGAGGAGGAGTACTCATGTCAATCATGATCCCAAGTTGAAACGCTCACGCGTATATGAAATTCTCAAAGAAAAATTTTGCGCAGTACGCAAAAAATGCGACAGTAAAAAATATAATAACAATAAATAAATATAATGTGGGGATGAAAAGTCTTGATCGAGCAATAATTGCTAGTGACACTATTAAGACAGAAACGTCTCCAAGTTTTATTTCTTAGGTTCGGGTTCGGGTTCCGTTTCCGTTTCCGTTTCCGGCTCCGGTTCCGGATTCCGGATTCCGGATTCCGGATTCCTGCTTTTCCATACGCCCCTTTGAGGCGAACACTAATGTTTAGACAAATCAAATGGTCAAACAAAATCCCAGTACGATAATGGGAAACCTTTCCTATGTTGCTCTTTAAGTACAAATCGTTAAAATTTACAGTACATGTTGTCAATGCGGTCATCCTTTACGGAGTGAAACGGTGGTAAAGTCATCCGGTCTTCCTTGGTAAGAGGTTTTGCGTGATCAATGGTTACTTAAAATTCACTGTTCACTTGCGATCAGGTGATACAGAATTTCTCGGAAAGACTCGATTAGTTGCTCTCGTTCAACCGTAAGTGAATTCTGACAGACTGATTTTTAGGGGGAAACAATCAATTATTTAATGATGAAATTTAAGTATGATCAAATAATAATAATAATAATAATATTAATACTCTATAATTATGGTCAATACTAATCGGGACAGCTAGCTAAACATCCATGCTCTCACTACTGCTCTTAGCAAAATTGCATCCTATCAATGGTGCCGACAATGATTAAAACGACGAATATCCCCTCCCCACCCCCTACCACCAGACAGTGTTGGCATCACACCTCCACTCTACATGTTGACTCATGCTCAGAATGAGGAAATGAAACCATTCGTATGTGGGGAAACGCCGATGATTGCCGCAAGACAATGGAAAATGTACAGTTGTTAAATTAAACCGATAGGCATTATGCTCTTTCCCTCCACCACTCGTTAATTTATGAGAATCAAAACCAAAACCAATCGCTACTTGCAAGTGGGCATTCCCCAAGGGATTTCATCAAGATGAAAAAAACATTAAAATCTCTCTTTCGCACTTTTCATAATAATCATGGCTTTCATAGTATGAAACAAAATAAAATTCCTTGCCATGCAAAAATACTCAGATAATAACTAAAAAGTAAAAAATAAATACGGTACGTTACGAGTGCGAGAAATGTGTCGGTTTCTCATTGCTTATTTTAGGTTTGTTGTTGAAAGGTTTGCATATTAGATAACCTAAACACACTTGCATCAGGGCGATAAAGAAAACATTTTTGCAATCCCATTCTCCAACGTAATATGTAAGCTAGTATTGCATGCTCCGTGGATATGTGATATGCTTTTTCATCGGCTCACTGCCCTGAAAACTGCAGGACAAAAACCAATATTTCTTATGGCTGTAAAAACGTTTTCAACCTGAAAAGATATCGACTATTTAAGGAAATACCTCAATCCTAGTCAACGGCACATTACTATTTTTATTTATTTATTCTTCTGAAATAAGACCTAAGACAAAACCATGCACAAAATGATATTATTTGTTTAGTAGACTACAAGGACAAGTAAAAAAAAAAGAAGGAAAACAAAACCTAAGAGCCCACAAAATAATTTCCAGACTATCTCTCTTAACAGCTATCGCTTTAATTTGCGCTTGAAGGATTAGACAAAACAGCTTTTCGATCAACAAGGGGAAGCCTTTCCTCTTTAAGCCCATAACTACAAATCGTTTTCAATGGACCGCTTTGACAGTGTAACACAATATCAATAGTTTTTCGTATTATTCAGGTTAACAAAAATCAACTCCATGGATCGATTAATCATGCCGAATTAAGTAAAAAAGCGAAATTTCGTATTAGAAAAAGCCCATTGCAAACACAGAGAAATGTGGGACCTCAAACTTGCCAATTTTTACAAGGAACGGTTGCACTCTGCATATGCTTTTGATGTTTGGGGTCCCTATTTCCGTGAATATTTTTGTTTGAATAAAAACGTCGGAAAAGCGTGACAACTCGAACTGGTATATTGTTGTGACCCATTCTGGCCCGGGTCTAAAACTGTAAAGTCATCTGGAAGAGATTTTTCCCGGTAAGAGGCGGAGGTGATCACCATTTCAAGTTCATATTTCAATTTCTGAATTTGCCTGTCAGGTGATCCAAAATTTCACGGAAACATAGAATTGAATGCCCATACTAACCTACATTCGCTGAGAATGGTGAAAATTCAATAAGCGCCCACGCCGACTATGCACCCACGCACACTCTCAAGGTCCAAAAATTTAATAATAAATACGGTATTTTTATGATGTGCTCCGCTTTAGTCAGTGCGATTCAAAGGAACCACCTCCCCGATATGAAAGTGAAACTGACTATTGTGTCGTACGATCATCCCATACAACTGCCATGATTATAACAACCTAAAATAAGCTTAAACCTTTCCAAGATCTAAATAATTTTACCTTCAAGTCACAGTGATTTCCTCCACTAATAGCCTGAGACGCCAGCTTTTTGGAGCTCTTCTCTATCACAAGTTACCGAAGCTGTGATCGGTATCTGGTTTACACCAGGAGATATATCATTGAAAGGTGAATCGGGTTTTTCAGGTTATGACCGGCGGTAACTGGTTTTCAGACCGCTTTATAGGTAAACAAAGTTTAGATTAATGAGCAGTGAATTCACACGCGAGGTAGTTATGACTTTTCTTTTCTACCAGCTCAGTTTTCTTGAATTTGATGTAAATGTCTTCAAAGCAATTCTATCCATTCAAAGTTTTTTCAATCTGACTGAATACAGAGAAGTTATCGTAAAAAAATTCACTGCTCGGTAGGCATGCAGGAATGCAGATTTGAATTCGATACTGGTTGCGGCAATTACTAACGAATTTGTTAATGGGATCTTTGAGGGTAAACATGACCTGGCTTGACTGTAATTTTCACTGCCTTACTATCTAGAAGTCTGAAATTTTCCAGACCTTAGATAAAACAGTTCCAATCAGCACTTAAGATTTAATAGCATCATCTCAAGAAGTCATTGTCTTATTGAAGCAAGGCACTGTTGTGTGGAAGGAGACGTCCTTGGCTTAGTAATAAGAGGTTTTGTCTGACTGATGGTTATCATTTTTTCTTTTAAAAAAATGAAAGCAGCATGTACAAAAGGTTAGTTGATAAATAAAATATACATAATTGCTCAAAATTCAAAAAAAATTCTTAAGACCAGTCTATTATTTTAGAAACACAATTTGTTGAAAAAACGTTTACCGTACTTTATTATTTAATACTGAGATTATTTACAGAGACCAAACCTTAATCAAATTTGTTTATTAGTATTCTATCATCCTCTCAAAGTCTTTCTTCGAGAGTTCTGACAGCATCCAGAGTCAAAATCACCTTTTTCCGAAGTAAGATTGAGTACACATTTAGAACTGTGAAGAAAATTCATATATACAAAAAGTTACCAAACAAATAAAGTTATAGTTGAAAGAAATTTATTTTGTTAAGCGAATGATATAGATTTTTTTCCCACTGTCTAGAGATTTTAAATGCTACCTGTTATATACCTATAGTGGGTACAATAATTAATCTAAGAGTGTATGAAAGGCACACCTCAATAGCATGGGCCCAAATGTCCTTGACATTACTCAGCCGAGTTTTAGTTAGTGACAGTAATGGAGATAACAAAAGTGGACAGGAAGTTTTGGCTTCTGGTACTCTTTGATGATGTATTGTTTCCCACAAATTGCGAGTGAGAAGTCGGGATGTATCCCTGATGGTTGAGTTGACCGTGACAATATTATTATCATCATTCATTCATTACATATTTGTCCCTTTCTCATGGGCTTAAAAGCTCTGTTCCTGAAAGGCCGATTACCGGTAATCCAGGACTAAAATTTTGTTGCACTATATTAATGTATAAATTTACTTTCTATGCATTACTTAGAGTAACATTTTGTATTATTGCCCCCGCAGGGATTTCGCCCAGAGGCGAAATCCCGAGGAGGTACCCTAGCAACTCGCGCGTATATTAAGGACAGTACTTACAGTTCAAATATACAGTCAGTATACTAGAAAAAATCTCGATTTGCTCGAACAGGGGCCGCGAGGAATGGGTAGGTAATGATGACGTTTCTATTGTTTGCGCCCGCAAGTACGAAATGGTTAGGATGACGTAAAGACAGAAAATCCCGAAGGGAACGCTCAGGTAGATTTTGTGACATTTATTGTGCAGCCATACTTTGATACTCTTTTGCGTTACGCAGTGATATTCTGTGGAGCAGTTGTTTTGAAAGTTATGGACCAAAAGACACTCGTTCAGCGCAGATGAGGTTTTAAGGGGCGTTTAACTATGTATATATAAACACTTGGGGAGTTTGCCAGACACGAGTTCACAAATCTTTGATTTATATTGGAAACCTTGCCAGACACTCTTTCTCTCTCTTTGACCGGAATAAGACTCACTCCCAAACAAGCAAGACGAGTGAACAACGGCTAGCTTATCACTAGCAGAACGATGGACGATCACAGAAATTCGCCGTCAATCAAATTCTGTGCTGACTTATTCCCTGCTCACAGATGTCCTTCCGTTATAAAGTTTCAAATAAGACTAGAATGCGCGAGCGTGAATCGATCAAACGTCCTTTTAATTTCTAAGGCCTACTTTCCGGCAAATAAAATGAACTGAATGTAAAAAGTGAAAGAGAAATAGCGAAAAATTCAACTTCTGATTAAATCTTTTCTTATGGTCTAGAATAAACTATTCTCGAAACTGAGAATGTTTTGATCAAAGCTGTGTAAATCGAGCTGAAACTGTGCACGGAACCTTGCGTTTCCTGTATATTTATATCACCTATTGTATGGAATTAGACTGCAAAACAGTCGGTTTTTTCCTCAAAATCAGTAAAGAAAGCGGTAAAGCGTGCCGTAAGAGTCTTACGCGCGCAAAGCGCGAGAGCCTCACACGCCCGCAGGGCGTCTCTCCCCAGGTCTCGCCCTCTGTTTTCAGCCTCGTTCCAGACCTTTTGTTTGACTGCTCGCGCCTTGCGTAGTTGAATACGCAAAAATACGGACTGTTTTGCAGTCTAGTATGGAATATGTGTGAAAATCTTCATTATCAATCGGTATATTTCAAAGAGCTACACAACCAGCAAGAATACTATTGACCGACAATATACAGAACGGGGGCAGCTGTAGTGTCAACTATTACTAGTTATATATTACTGTATCTCAGAGTAAAGGCTAAACAGTATTTTGTAAGCTTTTTAGTTACGTGTTCTCAGACAAGAACACCATTCTTAAAATTTGGCTTAATCCTGGGCTAAACTTAACCATCGTTCAAGGAACCGGCTAATTCTTCATAACCATCTACGATTGACCATCAAACTCGGAAGATGTCTGCTGTTAATTTTCGACAGACATAGGTTGTAAATTATTTGGAGTGTTATCTGTTGAGGCCAACACCTCTGATCTACCTAATTCTTGATATTAATAAGGCCTCTTCAAATAATTTTGTAAATAGCTGTTATTACAAAGTTGCTTGATGTTTTCATACCTATACTATAAAGCACATCCACTTTATTCATCTCTGCTGCAGCATGATGTAGTTTTGAGTTGGACTGCCTGTGGTTTGAGACAAATATGGCATATAAATAGACAAAATAATTGTGATTATTAAAATTCATACCTGGCTCCAAGGGTGGGAAGAATAAAACAAAATAACTCGATGTGAGGTTCAGAGTTGAATAATACATTTTTTTTGTTTCTATCGGCCAACGCTAAGAGCCAAATATAAATTTTAATACATTGAAACAGGTACCATTAACATTCACTTCCTAGATAGCGAAAAATCAATGCCACCCTTGGACTGTCTCGTAGGCATACACTGTGCATAGAATTGCCCCATTTTTTCTTTAAAAAAAGCAAAACAAAATGAAACAAGTAGTACTGTTTTACATGTGAAACTTTTTAATAAAGCTGGTCAAAGAGTTTTATAAAAAATGTCCTTTTTGACATCATGAAACAAAAAAATTATTCCTGTGACAACTTCATAGGAAACAACTTACGAATCCACAAGCACAGCATTCGTCCAGCCTCTTTTTTCGAAAAGTGGAATCAAATCCTACAAAGGACAATTGTTTCAAAATTAAAATTGCCAAAATTGGTGCTTTTCATAAAAATACATACAGTGGAACCTCGAGATAATGAATGGACAAGTGTCTTGCAAAATATGTTTAATCCCTCTAACAAGGTTTTATTGTTTCAAAGTTCTTTTTGATATATTTTACCATTAGTGGCGTGAGGAAACTTGTTTGGTACAGGGTATACCAAGGACTTCATTGTGTAGAGGTTCATTTTATCGAGGTTTCACTGTCCTCCTCCCACAGAGAGATTTCTGGTATCACCTCCCCCCCCCCAACTTCCTGTCTGGAACTTAGGTTAAGCTGTCTCACTTTCCTAGAGAGATATTATCCTTCAAAAATGTTAACCTTTCACCCTTAGATTTTCTTTTCAATGACCCTTCTAGCCTATGTGTAACCACATCCCACCACCCCCACCCCACGAAAAAGAAAAGGATGGGAGAGAGCCCTCTTGCCACTTTCCCTTTTTTGGAAGCCCGGGGGGAGGAGTTTTCTGACTTGGAGGGTGCAGCCACATGGCTTTGAACCTCCGTGGTGGGGTGGTATGGATATTTTCTGAAACCATAAAATCTACCTCTCTATGTATTATATACCATTCTTGCATTCCCACAAAAAAAAATTACATTTTTTCATAAGGGCAACAACTTGAGGTTTGGGTCTTCAAAATACTGATCAGAGATTTGTATGAAATTGTCCACCCATCCTTGACTTGTTTTATTGTGCATGCTCACTGGAGAAGATGGTGAGAAAGGTCTATTTGCCATGCAAGTTGGATGGTTCAGTGTTTACCTTTTAAAAATGTGCAACACACTGTACCTAAAACCTCTAGAACATAAAACTACATGCAGCTCAGATGACATGAGGAAATTCCATCAATCACAAAATCTTGTCCATATTTATTAGGGAGTCTGATAGTAGTTACAAGTGCAGGTTTCAGATGACACTTTCAACTAACCCGTTCACTTTCAATATCTTTAAAGGAATCAACAATGTGCAAATCACCCTGTTGAGAAAAAAAGTCTTCATCATTATGATAGAATGGTAAATGTCAACAATAGCTAGTTAATTTGCATTTATAATGAAAATGGCATTATTCCAGCAAATTAATAGGTGTATATTTGAGCAAATACTTGCCATAATAAGAACCATTACTCCATTCAAAAGCAAACCCACCAAGAAAACTAATAATTACTTGTTTTTCTCCCACTTTTGTTAAGATCTTAAGAAGATAGACGCCTTGCCACATCACATAATTGGTGAAACATGACCCGTTATTTCTGGATAATCTCTACAATGAACACTACCTGTTGCCCCAGTGTCCACAATCATTCTTTTTTTTTCTCATAAAATTATTGTATAAATTGGGATAATAATTGAAAAGATCTAAGCAGCTTCCCTTTGGTAATCATTTCGTTAATTCTCATACCCTGGTAGTCTGCATTGCAAGCATTTCTGTTTGGTTTTGGAACAAAGAAAGACCAAGGAATGGTACGTATTGACTCTTGTTCCTCCTTCTTAATGCTCTGAAACCACACGGAAATGCTTGCCACGCAGGCTAACATTGTGGTTGTGAGGAGAAATTAATGCCTGTCCCTCTTGGCACTTGACCCTTTAAAAACCCTAATATCAAAACTCAAATACTCATTTTTTGTCCATATGCTTTAAATAGATGTAGTGGGGAGAATTTAAAGTATCAGTTAGATTCATCTTTTGTGATGGCAACCATGTTTTATAAAGCCTTGATAATACAAGGAGAAATTTCATCCTGAACTCTATTGGGCCTTAAAAAAGGGTTATACTATGCAATCTTACTACCTGAGCATATCTGACTGACAGTGCTGTTCTAAGCCCCATTCTTCTGACTTTCTTTGGAAGTGAGTAATAATAACTCTTTGGCTTGGGGCCATGGGCATGGCCACCTAGAGTGATGAAAAAGAAAATGTTCAGGAAATAACAAACTTAAATGTAACAGAACTAAGAGAGAGTGCACCTTAGAAACAGTTAAAGATTTCCGTCCAGCAAAGGAGTATTAATAATACAGTGGAACCTTGCTGTACCGACACCCACAATACAATGGACAGTTTTGTTTGCCCCAACGAAAACCTCGTTTCTGATTGGTCAATTTCCCATAATTTACTTCTTACCCATGGCTAAATGCTGACAAAAGCTAGGTCAGGCTAAAAGAACTACGCAATAATTTCTTTGTGACTATTATGTTCTGCTATGGTCAAATTGTCAAATGCTTTCCATTTTTGCTCACTCAGTCACTAAATGTAACTTGCTGAGCTCGTCCAACATACATGTACATCAGTCAGACACACAGCTAATGAGGCAATCATTCAGTCACTACAAGTCATGTAAGTTACTGCATCAGTCCAACATTATGTCAGTCAGATACACAGCTACTGAGGCAGTCAGTCAGTCAGTCACTACATGTAAGTTATTGAGTCAGTAAAACATTATGTCAGTCAGACACAGCTACTGAGGCAGTCAGTCCATCACAATAATTTTATGTAAGTTACTGATTCAGTCCAACATTATGTCAGTAGGTCCATACAGCTACTGAGGCAGCCGGCTGGTCAATACGTGTAACTTACTGAGTCAGTCCCACATTATGTCAGTCAGACACAAAGCTACTGAGGCTATGTGTCAGTCAATACATGTAAGTTACTGAGTCATTCTAGCATTATGTCAGTCAGGCACACAGCTACTAACTAAAGCAAGTCAGTCAGTCAATACATGTACACGTAAGTTACTGAATCAGTCCAACACTATTTCAGTCAGACACACAGCTACTAAAGCAGTTGGTCAGTCAATTCACCTAAGTTACTGATTCAGTCCAACACTGTCAGTCAGCCACACAGCTACTGAGGCAGTCAGTCAGTCACTACATGTAACATTC